ATAGCGCCTATGTAGTCAACTCCCGTCGCCAGGAACGGTCGGTTAAGGGGGTTGACCCTGTGTAGCGGAAGGTCTCCCATGAGCTGAGTCGAGGTGGTTGGCCGGGTGCGAAAGCACCTCACGCACTTCCGTAGCACTCTTCGAACTGCTTGTCTCCCTGTCAGTATCCAGAACCGCTGGCGAGCGTGGAACAAGGTCAGCTGCGCACCTCCGTGCAGAGTCAAAGCATGCCAATACCGTATTACTAGCTCTGTAAAAATATGAGAACTTGGGAGAATTATCGGATGCCTCCACAACGGTCGGTGACAAACTCTGAAGTTTGATTCTGGAGGGCAGCCGTTTAGAATTCCTTAATGTGGCCAGCTCAGATGCGAAGGACTCCCTTTGAACGATGCGCACGGTGGCGAGTAAAGCATAGTCGAGCTCCTCAATGATTAGGGGTCCGGTACACCTCTCTCCTTTGCTAATAGCATTGCTTTTGAACCGAATTATAAATGCTGTGACTCTCACAGCCTGGCTGAAACTGGAAAACCTCTCAACCAACGATGGTTGCGGAGCTGCAAGATGAAGGCGTACCTTGTCTGCCTTTGCCTCCAGCGCGGCATCGTTTATGTCGACCTGCCCGATCTCCGTCGAAGGCTAGTCACCTGTCCTGCGTGTAAGCCACTCCGGACCTCGCCACCACAAATCAAAGTCCTTCAGCTCGCTCGGAGGAAGCCCTCTTGTCGCACAGTCCGCTGGATTCTCGCTAGTACTTACATGTCTCCATTGCGATGGCGACGAGTGCCAAAATGAAGACCCTGTTGGCGACAAACATCTTCCTTCAATTTACGTCCCCGTGCAGCCAATGAAGAAGAATCGTGGCATCCGTCCAATAAAAGGTCTGGATGGGAAGGTCATTTAGCCATCTAGCCCTTGTAAGCCATTTCACCAACTTGACGGATAGCACTGCACCACTCAGCTCCGTTCTTGGTATGGTTAGGGGTTTAGTAGGGGTAATCTTTGATTTTGCGGCCAACAGCGAGGCGTAGAACGTTCCATCTCCGTGCTCGAGCCTTAGATAGGTTAGGTTAGGTTAGACCGGACGGCCCTCGAGGGGCCACACATAGGCCAATATGGCCCATAGCTATCCGGGTAAACTCCTGGATGGACCTAGGGACTATTTATGCGGGTTTCGAGATACTTGAATTTCAAGGTGTTTTTGCAAAGGCAAGGAGTTCGCCTGGATTCCTCCTGGAGGCATCTTCTAGTGATGCCAGAACTGGAGAGCCTAGGTATCTCATTCTTGCCCTCGTTAGGGCCGGACATTTGCAAATGAGATGCTCCAAGTTTCGATTGCCTCCGATTCATCACATTTCCGGCATTTGGCGTTGTCGGTAATATCCAGCTTGACTGCATGTGCAGCAGACAGGCAGTGACCTGTAAGAATACCCACTAACATTCTGCAGTCCCTCCGCGGAAGATGCAACACGTAGTGGGTAAGTTTCTCGTTGTCTTCTTTGCACATGATTTTTGATATTCAGCAGGTTGCGGAATTACTCCCCCACCTGCTTTTTGCGCTTGCGTCAGCCCGTCTCTCTAGCTCGCTTTGGAGTGTTCTTAGGGAGATAGGGACGTTTTCTGTTCTTTCACTCGTCAGTCCAACGCCTTCCTTAGCAAGTTCGTCCGCGGTTTCGTTACCGTCTATGCCTTGGTGGCTGGGAACCCAGTAGATCCTGTAGTATGCACATATATTGAGTACCCACTATACTTAGCGGGTACACACTGTAACACTAAGTTGCAATGTTTATATCATAAACATCAAGTGGACGAAATATGAACTACCCACTTATGTATATATCGGCCGCTCACAAAGAATGCAAGTGTCAGCATAAATGCTACACGAGCGGACCACATGTATGTATGTGCATATACCTCCGCGCTCAGTCCAAAAGAGCATAGCTATGTATTTAAGAATATTTAAGAATATATATACATGACTCTCTGCTGCCGCTGTTGGCAGCGCAGCTAAGGGACTTAGACTTCCCTAGCTTTAAATCCATATTGATTAAGACACACATGAATGAGAGTTCGGAACGACAACAATGGTTGCTCCGACCAAAACTGATCTAAAATAAAATAAAATAATGAACAACAAAAACCTACAATACAACTGACTACTTATTTCTGGAGACACATTGATGGTCATATTACAATCCTCACTGACTTAGTCGTGCTTAGGCTATCTAGTGACTCCCTGCTTGCCAGTACATTTTTGGAACTGACCGCTGATGATTGCATGGATCTTATCGCCGCTTGACTGTCTACGAACAAATTGACCGCCTCATGTGGACGGTTTATGCTCTGCGCAAGCTTTGCTGCTTTCCTGATGGCGAATACTTCCGCCTGGAATATACTGCAGTAGCTTGGTAGCTTGTACGACAGCCTCATTTCAGGGTCTGAACAGTATATGCTCCAACTTCTCCTTCCATCTTGGAGCCGTCGGTGTATATAATGAGGTGTTGAGCAGAGTCCTGGCCTGACTTCCAGTCATTTGGTCCTTGAATACTGTTGTGTTTACATCCGGGCACGTTCTGGGTATCATGTAGTCAGATGTACTGCTCATGTGTCGACCAATTGAACTGTGCCCGAAACCTTGTAGAGACCCGTTTCCTGATGCAACCAGACGTTGTGCCGCCTTTCCTGCTGTCAGTTGCGCTTGGATATCTAGGGGATATATACCGATTATGGTTTCGAGTGCTTTGGTGGGGGTTGACCTCAGCGCCCCTGATATGCAGAGCAGTGCCTGCCGCTGGGTTCTCTCCATAAGCTTATTATACGTTTTCTTCTCCGTGGCTTGCCACCACACTAAGAATCCATACAGCAGAGTAGGACGCACCACCGATATGTAGACCCAATGAATTAGAGCGGGTGAGAGGCCCCAATGTGCTGCTAAGCATCTTCTTGGATGCATATAGCGCTATGGTGGCCTTGTTTATCCTCTCTAATACATTTGCTCTCCACGTCAGCTTGCTGTCAAGTACAATGCCGAGGTGTTTGACTTGTGTTTTCGGGGTCAGCCTGGTGTTGTTAATTTTCGGGGGGATCCATTGCGGCACTTTGTATCTCTTGGTGAAGAGAATAAGGTCCGTCTTATCCGCATTGATATTGTGTCCTACCTTCTCCGCCCACTCACATATCTCCCTGAGTGTTGTTTCCATGATCGAGCTGAGGGTCGATGGACAGACTCCCGAGATAATTATGCTTGTGTCATCCGCATAAGCTGTTATCTTTGGTGCTTTCCTCTCGAATCTCTTGATTAGGTCGTCTACCACCAGATTCCATAGGAGGGGCGACAGAACCCCACCTTGCGGCGTACCTCTGTGCGCTCCTCTCACCATGGAAGCGGTGCCCCAATCTGATTGTACCCGCCGGCAACTTAGAAGATTTTTATCCACAAGTTGATAGCGGGGGACGAGTTGGTCGCTTCTAGGCGACCATTAGAGAACATTAGAGAGTTTATTTTTAAAATGGACCTTTTGCGTGCTGCCATTTAGATAACATGAGATCCAATTAAGAAGATCAATCGGAAATCCCATTAAATCGAGTTTCCGAACAGGAAGAGAATGGTTAACAAAGTCAAATGCATTACTGAAATCAGTATAGATTATATCTGTCTGAAAGTTATTTCGGTAGCCCTTTATAATAAAGGAAGTAAGCTCCAAAAGATTGGTTGTAATTGATCTTCGCCTAATAAAACCATGTTGACATAGAGAAATAATTGACCTACACAGGTGCTGCAGATGAGGAGTAATAACATTTTCGAACATTTTAGGGATGGCCGACAACTTAGAGATTCCTCTGTAATTGTTGGCCTCCAATTTGCTACCTTTTTTGTGGAGAGGAATAACGAATGATTCCTTCCAAATAAGGGGAAAGTGGGAGGTTTCTAAGGATAAGGTAAACAATTTGAGAAGGGGATTGCACAGGGCTTCGGCACAATTCCTAAGTACACAGCCTGGTATTCCGTCGGGACCTGGTAAAAAAAACTGGCTTAACACGATGAAGATCTAAAAGAAGAGAGCTTTCGTTTAGGGTAGGACTGGAGATTTGGTTCGATTTGGGAATGATGTAAGAATAAGCCTGATTTGGGTCTATTAAGTTGGAGTAAGTGGTTTGAAAAAACTGAGCAAAAAGATCGGCTATTGCCTGATCATTATCTACTGTTGTATTATCAAAAGAGAGCGAAGAAGGTAATGGGTTTACGTTTAGATTTAACAAAATTATAAAACTGCTTTAGGTCCTCAGAAAACTGGGACCTGCAACGAGTCAAATAATTATTGTAGCACTGCGCGTTATGTACGGTAAAAGTAGATCGAGCTGATAAATATTTAGATAGGACAGTTGGAGAACCAGTACGTTGATATTTAGCATACAGATTTGATTTTCTATTTTTGGGGCGGGTCAACGAAAGTAGGATGATAGGGATCTTCGGGTTGCGTCAGCTAAACTAAGTCTTGCCGGATCAGAGACAAACCAAAGATCAAGCAAGCGCTCTAAGGAATTTCGAACATGGTTGACTTGGGACAGCGAAATGTCAAAAAAGCCAGCAACAAAATCATGATGTGTTGTGGTAAGAATTGTATTAGTAGAATTATCAAGAGACCAAATAGCTCCTGGGATGTTAAAATCACCAAGAACTACAAAATGGTCCCTGTATAGTTGTGTCCCCTTGTATGTATGTAACTAACAAGAGGTCATTGTAGGAGGGGTTCCCAGGCAAGAGCAAACAAAGGTCGGGATAATTTCCAACGTTATAATTATTATTATTCACTGCCTTACTTTAAACGATATGTATATGTATGTACAGATGGGTGTGTATTCGCAATAGATAAGACGTCAGACCGGCGTCGTGCGTTCAGCGGCGTTTGCAAAATCAGACTGACTTTTCCCCTCTCTTCAATTTTCTTCTTCCCGCATCGTATGCACTGTCCGGAGACGAGCGAGCGATCGGCTGACCGTCACTCTCCCGCACAGTGGGACACGCAGCAAAACTGGCCGCCCGCCACTGCTAGACCTCTCCGCGTGTCCAGTCCATTCTTGGAGTAGTAGGCGGGGCAGAATCTAGAATGGAGAAACGAGACAAGTGTGCGCAAGAAATAATTCATTATGATTGAGGTGTACATGAGAGCGCTTAAGAACGGATTGGCAGTGTACACAGCTTCGATACTGATCGTTTTAATTGGCCTTGTTTGGTTTTAAGCGTTACCACACGGACTTACGCATCCGTCCCTGGGTGTAACTCGACGACCCGTCCTAACAGCCATTGTGACGGCGGAAATCGGTCATCCTTGATGATGACAAAGTCGTTCAGCTGCAAACCTTCAGCCTCATGACACCACTTCGGTCTCTGCTGCAGATGAGCTAGCCAGTTTCGACTCCAAGCCTTCCAGAAATGGCGGATCATTAACTGCTGGCTAAGAAACTGCTCTGCGAAGGACTTGGACTGCGGTCTATACTCCGGAGGCGCCAACATGAAGTCTCCAATTCGAAAATGAGCCGGCGTGAGCACCTCTAGATCGTCAGCATCGGCTGTGAGAGGGCACAGCGGGCGCGAGGCATGCTTCTATGCGTATGAGCACCGTAGATAACTCCTCATAGGTAAGCCGTCGATCGGCAATGACCCTCTTAAGGTAATGCTTCACCGACTTCACATTGGCCTCCCACAGCCCGCCAAAGTTGGGCGATTGAGGTGGATTAAAATGCCAAGTGGCACGCTGCGCAGCGAGCTTTGGGGCTATGAGCTTCTCGTAATCCTCCTGCAGCCTTCCGAATAATGCCTTCATTAGATTATCCGCGCCGATATAGTTTGTTCCGTTGTCACTGTATAAATGTTGAACCATCCCTCGTCGCCCGGTGAACCGGTCAAGAGCCAGTAAGAAATGCTCCGTGGTGAGACCCGTCACCGCCTCCAAGTGTACAGCCTTCGTCGCAAGACAAATAAAAACGGCGATGTATCCCTTGTAGAAGCTTGTTCCTCTCAAGCGCGCTGCCTTCAGCTCTATAGCGCCTGTGTAGTCAACTCCCGTCGCCAGGAACGGTCGGTTAAGGGGGTTGACCCTGTGTAGCGGCAGGTCTCCCATGAGCTGAGTCGAGGTGGTTGGCCGGGTGCGAAAGCACCTCACGCACTTCCGTAGCACCCTTCGAACTGCTTGTCTCCCTGTCAGTATCCAGAACCGCTGGCGAGCGTGGAACAAGGTCAGCTGCGCACCTCCGTGCAGAGTCAAAGCATGCCAATACCGTATTACTAGCTCTGTAAAAATATGAGAACTTGGTAGAATTATCGGATGCCGACTTTCGTATGGTAGCCCCGAATGGCGCAATTGCCCCCTCACTGGTAAGATTCCCTCCACAACGGTCGGTGACAAACTCTGAAGTTTGCTTCTGGAGGGCAGCCGTTTAGAATTCCTCAATGTGGCCAGCTCAGATGCGAAGGACTCCCTTTGAACGATGCGCACGGTGACGAGTAAAGCATAGTCGAGCTCCTCAATGATTAGGGGTCCGGTACACCTCTCTCCTTTGCTAATAGCATTGCTTTTGAACGGAATTATAAATGCTGTGACTCTCACAGCCTGGCTGAAACTGGAAAACCTCTCAACCAACGATGGTTGCAGAGCTGCAAGATGAAGGCGTACCTTGTCTGCCTTTGCCTCCAGCGCGGCATCGTTTATGTCGACCTGCCCGATCTCCGTCGAAGGCCAGTCACCTGTCCTGCGTGTAAGCCACTCCGGACCTCGCCACCACAAATCAAAGTCCTTCAGCTCGCTCGGAGGAAGCCCTCTTGTCGCACAGTCCGCTGGATTCTCGCTAGTACTTACATGTCTCCATTGCGATGGCGACGAGTGGTCCAAAATGAAGACCCTGTTGGCGACAAACATCTTCCTTCTATTTACGTCCCCGTGCAGCCAATGAAGAAGAATCGTGGCATCCGTCCAATAAAAGGTCTGGATGGGAAGGTCATTTAGCCATCTAGCCCTTGTAAGCCATTTCACCAACTTGACGGATAGCACTGCACCACTCAGCTCCGTTCTTGGTATGGTTAGGGGTTTAGTAGGGGTAATCTTTGATTTTGCGGCCAACAGCGAGGCGTAGAACGTTTCATCTCCGTGCTCGAGCCTTAGATAAGTAGTAGCTGCATAGGATGTGGAAGACCCGTCACAAAACGCGTGAAGCTGAGCTGATACTATGGATCCTGGAGAATAGTGAATCCACTGCTGTATGCTCAGACCGTCGATCCCCAGCAAGCCGTCCCGAAATGCTTGCAACCGTTCCGCTAGAACCTTAGGAACCTCATCGTCCCAATCTAGAGCCGTCCTAGCGCCGTTGTCCTGCATTTTCTTATCCATGGTTACCTCCTTCAATATTAACTTTCCCGAGATGATGACTGGGGCGATGAGACCTAGTGGGTCGAACAGCCTCGCTATGCTCGACAGGATCGTCCTTTTGGTGAAACTAGGTGGTATCTCAAAATTGACCTGAAATTTGAAGCAGTCCTTATTGGGGAGCCAATACATTCCTAACGCCTTGATAGGATCCGCAGTGTTCCAATTCAGAGATGCACGACTCTCATTATCATCCCAGGGTAGGCCACTGAGGCCGAAAAGTAAAAAGTTCATTTGTACACATTCAATACGGTTAATATAAATTCCGAATTGAGGACTCCAGACGCATGAACCATACTCCAATATAGTGCGCACTAACGAAGTAAAAGGGTCTTCGTTATATAAGGGGAATCGAATTCTTTCGACCAAAACCGAGCATGCTTCTGGCTTTATTAACCATGCACGAAATATGTTCAGAGAACGAAAGTTTAGGGTCTAAGCGAATACCCAAATCGTCAACAAGAGTTATTCTTTCCAGAGCGCAATTATTAAGCGTATAAGTGGCAAACTGGGGAGTGTCACGTGAAAATGTCATTAGCTTGCATTTGGAGCTATTGAGATGTAATAAATTAGCAAGACACCATGCTTGAAAGTTATTAAGATCCGATTTCAGGTCTGATTAGCAAGAGCTGTCCTTATACTGCAAGCATAGTTAACGTCATCATAAACAAAGTAAATATCAGCGGGCCGAGGTGGCTACCTTGTGGGACCCCAGAAATGACTCTGAGGAATTTGGAGAGGAATGATAAATGATTCCTACCAAATAAGGGGAAATTCTAAGGTTTCTAAAGATAAGGAAAACAATTTCAGAAGGGGATTGCAGAGAGCTCCAGCACAATACCTGAGCACGCAGCCGGGTATTGCATCGGGACCCGGTGAATAAACTGGTTTCACACGATGAAGATCCGAACTAAGGGAGCTTTCGTTTAAAATAGGTCTGCAAATTATACAAAGAATATATTTATTTGGTTTTAATAAAATTTCAAAAACATTAAACAAAACATTTAAATCGTATAAAAAATATATTATATATCTTTTATAATATAACGAATAGTATAAGAATAACAATTATTGCAAGACGTTGATGCACTATGTACAGTACATATCAAGTGGAACTTGCGACACCAAGCACGTGCTTGTTCTGTTAGCAATTAGTAGGCGCGAAGGAAATAAATAAAAAAGAATGCGAGGAAAGCTACTACTGGCGTACTGCCGGATTGGTTGCTTGCATGCTTACTAAGTTGAAATTTTTAGTTTTGGGAGGCTATCAACATTAGATATTATGGTGTACAAATCATTAAAATATGCACAGAGGACTCTAAAGGGTTCATGCAATTCAAAGGATGTTTTGTAGCGGGGCAAAACTAATGGTAGAAAGGATCTAGTGTTTCTTATTGGTCCGTGAAAATATAGCTGACCGAGCAAGTCAGTACTTTCCACGTCACCACGGATTAAGTTGTATAAGAATGTAATACCTAGCATGGTTCTACGATTAGATAAAGAGGGTAAGTTAATTAGTAAGAGTCTACTAGAGTAAGACGGTAACCTCTGGTTTGCATCCCAGTTTAAACCGCGTAAAGCGAAAAGTAAGAAGTTCTTTTGAACCGATTCTATGCGTTTACTGTGGACGCCATACTGAGGGCTCCAAACGCAGGATCCGTATTCTAAGATAGGACGAATAAGTGAAATATTTAAAGATTTTGTAACATAGGGGTCATTGAATTCCTTCGACCACCGTTTAATGAAACCAAGCACAGCCCTGGATTTATTCATCATGCACGAAATATGATCGATAAAGTCGAGTTTAGGATCCAGACGGACACCTAAATCATCAACAATATAAATTTTTTCCACAGAGCAGCAATTTAGCGTATAAGTTGTAGGCTTAGGAACGACACGGCAGAATGTCATTAGCTTGCATTTAGAGCCATTCAAGTTTAATAAGTTCACGCGGCACCAAGTTTGAAAATTGTTTAGATCTGTCTGTAAGTCTGATTGGCAAGTAGCATCGTCATCAGCGTACATAAGTACTCTGGAGTTGGTCAAAACTTCGGGCAGATCGTTGATAAATAATGTAAACAATAGGGGACCCAAGTGACTGCCTTGCGGGACGCCAGATGTAACCCTAAGAACATTAGGTTAGGTTAGGTTAGACCGGACGGCCCTCGAGGGGCCCACACATAGGCCAATATGGCCCATAGCTATCCGGGGAAACTCCTGGATGGACCTAGAGACTATTTATGCGGGTTTCGAGATCCTTGAATATCAAGGTGTTTTTCGCAAAGGCAAGGAGTTCGCCTGGCTTTCTCCTGGAGGCATCTTCTAGTGATGCCAGAACTGGAGAGCCTAGGTATCTCATTCTTGCCCTCGTTAGGGCCGGACATTTGCAAATGAGATGCTCCAAGTTTCGATTGCCTCCGATTCATCACATTTCCGGCATTTGGCGTTGTCGGTAATATCCAGCTTGACTGCATGTGCAGCAGACAGGCAGTGACCTGTAAGAATACCCACTAACATTCTGCAGTCCCTCCGCGGAAGATGCAACACGTAGTGGGTAAGTTTCTCGTTGTCTTCTTTGCACATGATTTTTGATATTCTGCAGGTTGCGGAATTACTCCCCCACCTGCTTTTTGCGCTTGCGTCAGCCCGTCTCTCTAGCTCGCTTTGGAGTGTTCTTAGGGAGATAGGGACGTTTTCTGTTCTTTCACTCGTCAGTCCAACGCCTTCCTTTGCAAGTTCGTCCGCGGTTTCGTTACCGTCTATGCCTTGGTGGCTGGGAACCCAGTAGATCCTGTAGTATGCACATATATTGAGTACCCACTATACTTAGCGGGTACACACTGTAACACTAAGTTGCAATGTTTATATCATAAACATCAAGTGGACGAAATATGAACTACCCACTTATGTATATATCGGCCGCTCACAAAGAATGCAAGTGTCAGCATAAATGCTACACGAGCGGACCACATGTATGTATGTGCATATACCTCCGCGCTCAGTCCAAAAGAGCATAGCTATGTATTTAAGAATATTTAAGAATATATATACATGACTCTCTGCTGCCGCTGTTGGCAGCGCAGCTAAGGGACTTAGACTTCCCTAGCTTTAAATCCATATTGATTAAGACACACATGAATGAGAGTTCGGAACGACAACAATGGTTGCTCCGACCAAAACTAATCTAAAATAAAATAAAATAATGAACAACAAAAACCTACAATACAACTGACTACTTATTTCTGGAGACACATTGATGGTCATATTACATGGCGACCGTGACAGAGAAGAACCTCAAGAGACCGCAACTCTAAAATGGAAAGCCAATAAATTAACATAAACCAAGCAAACAAGCAGCCAAAACCACCGTGTGCACTAAAATCTACAGATGAAAACCGATGCTGGAAAACGGATCAAGAGGCAAAACGCAGTGAGTAGTGTGTGATGTGCGGAAGAAGAAGTGGTGTGGTAAAAATATTAAAGGCCAGAAAGGCCGAACTACTGAAGCTATTGAATAGCGGAAGTAATGTGAATTGGACCCACTCGGTAAAAATACATGCCGAAGTGGAACATATAAAAAATATATTGAATGAAAAAAAGAACAAACCATCAAACCACTGAGACAACCACATCCACCTACACTGTGATTAAAAACAATGCAAAAATTAATCTGAAACAACCCCCTCCAGAAGAAGCTGAATTTCCACGATTTAAAAAGGAATGCCCAAAGGACTGCCCGGGACCTCTGGAGAGCCCGTTTTGCATATCATCATGTATGAAGCCTGTGCGATGACCAGCACCGGCACCGCCTGAGCCCATAGGCCCAGGACAGCTGCAGCAGAAACTGCGAGTGTGAGGGGCAGGCCGCCTCTTACACCTTCGAGGGAGCGTCAGCGAAGCCGGACTGGCGACGACCAGCTGACGCAGAGGACGTCACTGGAACCTGTGGAATCCTGCACAATATTTTTAAAAACATTTTGCACTGCGTTGCATATTTTTTTTAAATTGCACTACGATGCATATTTTTTTTATACATATAAAAAACAATTGTAAAATTGAGCGACATTAAAGTTGCCCGATAGCGTGTGGCCTGGCGGCTATACAACCAATAGGCAGGGAAAAATGTAAATTTTTTTTATGAAAAGAAAAGAAAATTAAACAAAATCTTGAAATTTACAAATTCTCTAATATTTTCTATGAGCCATTGGCAAATAAGTTCAAAGCCAAAATCCACGCCATATGTTAATGGCATAAAATTGGAAGAAGATTTTACAAATTTTAAAAACAAAGCTAAACAAAACATAGCCACTATGGGATTGATAGAAACAAAGTCAGTGGACTCCACTGCAAATGTAATTAATAAAATCGAATCACACACAGTGATACCAATTTGACAAATATTTTATTAGCAGTTATTGTTATCATAATGAGTGCTTACATTCTGTACAAGGCTTATATTTTCCATAATAAATGCATTTCAAAAAGAGCCATAAACAGGAGTCAGGCTAATGACCTGGACAAAATATAAAAAGCACAAACAATAATTGAAAATAAAATTCGAAATATTATTATGTATACCATTGAGGAAATGTATAAAGAACTATATTAAAAATTACTTATCATATATCCTTGGAAATAAAATAAAATAAATAAATAAAACAAACACAATTCGAAAACAATCAATAGGAAACCATCAGCAAAATGGCTAGCAGCAACGCTGACATTAGACGTACTGACATGAGTCAGGAAATGCAGGAAAGCGCCATTGAATGCGCAAAACAAGCCATTGGTGCATTCGAAACTGAATCGCAGATTGCCAAATATATAAAAAACGAATTCGATGCAAAATTTAGACCCAACTGGCATTGCGTTGTCGGCAGGGATTTCGGATCATCTGTGTCCCACGATCCAGATCATCTTATATATTTCTATTTAAATCAGTTAGCGATTTTATTGTATAGTTCGTAGAGACAGCAATTCCGTTTGTGTAGGTTCGAGAATAAAATTCGAGTAATGTTCTGAACAAAATTCCATTTAATAATGGAATGGGGTGAACTTTATAAAGAACTGAACAACATAAAAACTGATTTTGACAGATCATACAAGTCATTATCAAGGACCCGGCTGGCACA